TCTTCAAGTTTTCATCTGCATCTTCGTTGGCATCCTCATTACCACCCCCTGCATTGACGGGAGGATTATTGGCATTGTGAGCTTCATCCGTATCCGTGTGATCCTCTTTCTGAACGACCTGATTACGGCGTCTTGGTTCACCTTGCTGGTTCGTCAGTGCTTGAATTTGTTGCTCATGCATTTCTCTCATACTCTGCATGGCTATCTGCATTTCGAACCTGAAGCTCTCCTGTTGTTTAGCCATGGCTTCTTCGAGCATCTTGGCCACTTGTTCCGCGCTTATCATGAATGACTCGCGGGGTTGTCCTTCGCTGGACACCGTATTGTCTGATGCGACCGCAGAGCAGGAATCCGATTCTTCATCTTCTGATGGTAATCTTGTGTGAACCCTACCATAAGTTCCTCGTGTAATGGCTCCAGACTGCAGACGAGTTAGATACCAGGGTACTTCCGGAATTGACTCGGGATTATCCCTTGTCGATGCCTTTTTGCTAGTCATATTGGTAGTGACCCTTGGAAATTCTCCATCTTCAATCACCGTTCTTTTTTGCCGGAAACGCCTAGACCTTGGTCTTGGCGTTTCGGAACTAAGCCTTTCGAACACCGAAATTCGTTCGGGGACTGCCTTGACGCAGTTGCACTCAGACAGTACCGCCTGAATGAGCTTTGAACAAGGGCACTAAGGGCACTGAGTTTCTAGCCTTCGAGGACTTCTCTTTCTGGCTTTGCTCATACCCCTGGCACGATAGTACAGCTCGTCCGTTTGAAAGTCGGAGCAACTTATCGTGTGTTGGCACGATTTCTCAGGTATAACGTAATCATCATCAGACGATAACGTTTCCTTCTGAGAGCGAACTACCTTCTTCGGGCTTTCAAAAGTTACGCGCCTCGAAACATGCCTTTTTGGGCGTGAGTTCTCAGCGGGCTCTTGGACTTCAATGCGCAAACTGGTGCGCCTAGCTGCCATGATCTCTTTGTCATGTTGAGGGTGGCGGTGACTCCCAGCATGTTGAGTCATTCGGGGCTTCTTTATCGGGCCCAAACGTTGCGCCTCGAAACATGCCTTTTTGGGCGTGAGTTCTCGCGGGCTCTTGGACTTCAATGCGCAAATTGGTGCGCATAGCTGCCCTGATTTCTTTATCACGTTGGAGGTGACGGTGACCCCCCAGCGTGTTGAGTCGTTCTGGGCTTCTTCATTGGACCCAAACTCTCTTGAACTGGAGCTTTGCCTCTCTCGTCGGGAATTGGACCGAGGTGCTCCAAGACTGACTTCCTTTTCTGGGATGGTCCTGCGGGATCTCCCGGAGCAGTTGTGGAAATCATCGGCGGTTTGGATTGATTCGCCGGAAGTTGAATTTTCGACGGCTGCAGTTGACGCTCTTTGGTCTGAACCGCCGCTTCAGACTTCGGCCTCCAAACTTTGCTGGTTGATGGCGGCTTCTTGGCCACTTCCTTCTGCAACTTCCTACGGGCTTCTTCGGCTTGAGCCCATGCCTGCGCTGATAGTGCGCGGCGTTTGCGGATGCGTTCTTCCAGCGCTTCCAGTGTCGAACGATTCTGTTTGACACGGACCCATTCCATTGTTGGCGGCTTGGAGGAACCACCATTCATCGATTGTTGAGGCTTTTTGCCTCTCTTGTTCTTCAGATCCGCGTTGTAGCGGATCCCGTCAACGGACTCCATGGCCTTTGTGAATTGTTTCGCAAGGCGTTGACGTTGCCTTTGGCGTGCTCTCTTCGAGAGAGTCACCACGCCCCCTGCGGCAGAAGGTTTGGCCAGAGCAGATCCGACCTGGTTGGGGATTGGAGAAATCTCACCCGATGCGACTTTGGCATCCAGCGGGGCGAGATCTTCGTTGGTGTTTTCCACGTCTTCATACCAACGAGTTTTTCTCCTGGAGGAGAACTTGGACTTCTTGGACTTGCGGGGGGAGGTTGATCCGTACGAGGACGACAAGTATTCCTCGAACTTCTGTTGGTCGAACTCGTATTCGACCTCCTCCACGACCGGGATTGAGATCCGCGGCTGCGACGCTCCGATCTCGGCAGCGAGATCGGCGGCTCCCACTGTG